TGAAATATTTATGAAGTGGGCTAACGACTGCATGCACCCATATGTTTCAGCCTAACAGCAGTTTACAGGCAGTTCTAATGTGATGAGTTTCCACTGAAGCAAAGAACACTGATTTACAAATTATATAGAACACAAAGAGGAAAGACAATGATAATAATTATTCATATTAATACATTTTATTAAACATTTTGCTCCAGCAGTTTTGAAAACAATTCTTGCATTTATCTGTGATAACCGCCATTATTCTTTCTTTTGATTAGTGAACGAAATTCCCTGCATTTATGTAACAAGTTCTTTGTTTCTTTGCACTTCCTTTTGAAAAACTTGTTTTGTATGTTTAATTATCAGTTCTGGAGTCGCACACCACTAGAGGATGAATTCTCGGCATGATTCATTGGGCAGCAATTCTTGTAAAATCAGGCCTAGCGTGCCTATTTCCAGAAAATGTAAGAACTTTATGGGTTATAGGTTTTATGAAAGCCAGCATGCAAAAAAAAAGGAGGAGGGGGGATTAATCTGAGGATTAGCACCATACTTTAAGATAAATCTTTTTTAATATGAAACCTCATCCCCACTTATTCCAGCCAGTCATTCTTTTTGCACACTTTAGATTACATTTTATGTATTTTTTCTGCACTCAGTTTAAGAACACAGCTTTTTTTTTTTTTTTTTTTGGACAATCTCCGCTCCACAAACACATTCTTCATGCTATAAAACTCAGAACAGTGGATGAGCACATAGCTGTGCACATTAATTCTTCTGTAAATGGAAAGACAGAGAGAGAGAGGAAGAAAACAGATAAGCAGAGCTTGGCTGCCCCCTCCCATCCATGTCATCCGTCTATCTATGTATCCTTCCCATGGAAAAAACTAGGGATGAAAAAAAACAATAAAAAGCTAACCAAATCTCTCCTCCTCATCGTTAAATCCTGGCTGATCAGAACGCGCCAGACCCTAACCGACAAACATCATAGACTGTCTCCAGTCCCTAATTGACTGCACAAGGATTGGTCACACTTTTTAAGTAGCATTTCGTAATGGATTTCCATGTTGGTTGCGCTTTTAACTGGCGCTTCAAATGGAAGGAAAAATGTCTCTTTTATTATCAAAAACAATGGTTCTTTCTCTCCCCTCGTTCTACCTTTTTTTTGGTAAAGATGATATCAGCCCCCTCCCTGTTTGTATTTTTTTTTTTTTTGCAAGGTCAACCCAGGCTGACAGTTGACAAACGATCTCAAGATGGCCACATCATCTGTCCTGTAATTTTTTGGGGGGAGAAAACGATAAAATGAATGCCATGTATCATGTTTTTTTTCCCCCCCTCTCTTTCCCTCGCTCGATTTTACGCTCAAATCTCTTATCGGCTTACGAAAAGGACTGTTAAGCAGGTGAAACAGCGATTTCGTTCATGCTTGAAAGTTGTCGCCGCTCTCGCACAGGCCCGAGACCGGTTCAAATCTCTCCGATCTGGACTTATCCTGTTTCTGCATCTTGGCACAGCGCAGGGATTCAGTATTATAGACAAGCTGGTCATCAGATGGGAGTTGGGTTTATTTCTGTGTCTCTTTCCTCTCCCCCCCTCCGTTCCCCCTCCCCTCTCGTTGGCGTCTCATCCAAGTTATGTCTCATTTTTTTTCTACTGGACAGCTCCGACAGAATGCCCGAGAACTCGATGTCCTTGAGAACAGAACAACTTTTCAGTCTAATACTTTGATTGATTATTTTTTTCCCCCTGTTGTTGTTGTTGTTCTCTTGCTTTTCTCTGACCGTCTTCTTCGTTTTTCTCTTTCCGAGATCATTATACGTATTTATACCGAAATCATTAGGGAGGGGGGGAGAGGCTTCAACTTCAACAATGACGGCCACTTTGACAAAACACAGAGTATGTTTTTAATTACCTGGATTTTTTAATGTTGTTGTCATCTCACAGAAAATACTGCTCTTGTTCTGATGTTCCTATTATGTTCTCATTTGAATGCCTGCTCTCCACAGGAAGTCCAACCCCCCCTCCCCACCCCGCATCACTTCCAGCAGCCCTCCAGTGTTCACCATTTCTAGTTTTTTCATTATGCCTAATTGCATTAAGAGACATATCATAGTGGAGCGAGAGAGAGGTAGAGATGAGGTGTCATCGCTTTCTAAAACACAATTAGGTAACACCTCATCAGGGGCTCTGCCTGCCTGCGGTTGACAGGTGCGTGAACGTTAGAGGCGGCGGCGTTGGTGGTGCACGGGCCACTGTGCGTGCTTGACAACTGCTCGTCAAACGGATGACAGGCGCTTTCCTGAGAGCCCGATCGGCGGCACAATCGATACTCGATGAGGTGTGGCGAGTGATCCCGACGTTTGAGTCCGTTTTAGAAGGGGGTCCTTAACACTAATGAAGCCGTTTCATGTGCATCTTCCCTCCCTGTTTACTTCAAATTTTTCATCTGACAAAATGAAACGGCTGCTCGTTAATTTGAGAAACAACATTCAGCAACTTTTATCAAAACCGGGAGAACAGGGAGATGCTGGGAAGCAGTGGTGCAGAAGTTTTAGCGGGTCTTTTTTTTTTGGGGGGGGGGGTTCCCACCTTGTTCTTTTCGTGGAACAAAAATAATGCACTGCTGAAGCACAGATTGTCATTGTGAATGTGTTTCTATTTTATCTAAAACATGATGACGATGATGATGACCAGAATGATGATGATGATGATGATGATTAATGAGAGTGATGGCAATGATTACACATACAGGAAGAGTGTTTAGCGTGTCAGCCATCTGCCTGATTAAAAACTCATCTTTATAGTAGTATCCTCTCACACGGCCTGGACAGAAACAGATGAAGCAGATAGAAAGAAAAAAATAGATGCGCAACGTGATCATGTTTCAATTGACACCTTAAGAAAAATTATGTACCGCGTTCATTATAAAGGTATCCAGCCTGATGCGGCATATTTGCTCTGCGTTTTGCTCTGAATGCACTATTGGATATTGCACCTTAGAGCTGACACTCGGAGACAAAGCCTGGAGAAGAAAAGTAATGATCACATATAAATATCAATATGAAAGAAAGAGTCAGTGCTAAAGAAGACATATAGCTATTGATGTTTGAATAACGGTAGTGTCAGGCGATGAAGAAGAGAGAGGTGGAAAATAAGGAGAGAAAATATAATGCATTTGTTTTTTCAGAAGGACAAAAAAAAAAGAGACAGAAACGGTTAATCGAAAACACTCCAGAGGCATAAGAATCAAGCTGAGGCCGAGATAAAAACATAACCGCTCTCTATGCCTTGTGAACAAAACCATAAATAAATATATAATCAGTTAGTATTATGCAGGTTTGCTCTGAGAGGCATTATCTGTCTGGCGTTGCCTTCTCAAGTAAAAGAACATTTGACAGTGCAAGTCCCTGATGACAAAAAAGAGAGGGAAAGTTATGACTTCAAAAGTGTTTACTCACCATGTTTTTTAATTTGTCTGGGCATATGCAGTTCATTTGCATTTCAAATACGCATATTTGAAGCAGGTGGTTTAAATGCCAAGATGCGAATTGATGACAATCACCTCTACCATAAGCGTCAAGGGAGCTGTACTCGCGGCTGACATTAAAACTAAACGAACAGCAGCTAAACAAACACATCGAAATAGAACTCTGTTGCCAGCCGCCCCGTGCGCGTGACACCTCCCCCCGCTCGCATCCTCTCCACCCGCACTTATATTTTAATATTCATGTACATTTAAATATCAGCCGCGTATATAGCGGTATCAGACCGAGGAGAGAGAGAGAGAGAACGTAAATACCTCACATTTGGGTGCACATAAATCTATTCATCCGTGAACGGTGTCAAATGCCCCTCTCCTCCCCCCTTCCTGGCCGTCGGTTCCATCGCTTCCATATTCATTTTTGTAATTTACAGCAAATCCAATAGCTGTCAATCACAAATTAAAAACTCCAAATTTACAACGGGGAGGAAACAGCTGCTTCTACATTTACAGCAAGACCACTCTAAAATATTAAAGACATGTCACCCAGCTCTGTGCAGCCCTACATCTGCGGCCATCTGTTTTCTATTAAAACATTACACCAAAAAACGCTGCTATTTCCATGCTTTTAGATCAGCACAGGAAAGCGAGACTGACAGTGTAAAACCTCCTGACGTGCTTAGCTTTTATCAACGGCCCTTTCAAAAGTGTCAGAATAAAAGGCTTTGAGTGGCACCCGATGTATTTGCACAAGTCGCAGACGGAGCGGAGGTCACATTTTAAGGGCCTAGTTGACGGCAAACAATGCCGGGATATCTTAAACAAGCCGATCTGCTGCTTTTCTTGTCGTTTTCTCACTCGCTCGGCCCTTCCTCCTGTGAAGCAAAGAGCGGGTGTTGAAAAGAAATACGTTAAACCGAGTGATTCGATGACATTTGAGGCATCGCCGGTGTGGCGAGAGAGCGAGAAGGAGAGCTTTTGAAAAGCGACGCTGAAATATTCTGTTACGGCGGAGCGGAGAAGAATTACGGTCAGTGTCAAAGGTAAACAATTACAACATTCTGAGTCACTTTTTGGAGTCGGGGCAAAAGAAGATCATTGCTCCCTCTCTAATAGGTAATTTCCTTTGTTTTCAGAGCCGTATTTCACATGTTGCCTTCCACGGGGTGGTCCCCTCAAAAGAAAAAAAAAGAACGAAAGAAAAGAAAGGAACGAACGTGTGTTTGGCGCATCCATCAGAATTTCAGATGAGACGTTTTGTTCGCCATCTAGAACTGCCAACACAGAACGGTTTGTTGGTGGTATGTGGAAAGAAAGCCTGTTTGGCAGACAAAAAAGGGAAACTTTTCCATAAACTTCAGGCTGCATGTAGAATGTTATTGTCTGAAGGAAACAACATGAAAGGACACTTAATTTCAGATCAAATTCACAACGATATCTGCCATTCAATTTGTTAGAATATCCAAGTTCTCCCCACGACAGAGATTCGGTGATTAACAAGCTCGCTGTTTTTTCTGTCACCCACCATTTAAAGGAAAAAACCCAGAGCTCCCGCTGCTCCGAGCGACATCTCTCCCCTCGCCGCCGTCTCTTCCTTCCTCTCCTCCTCTTGTCGTCTTATGGCAGGAGTCACAGGTGTGTGACAATAATTACACATACACTCAGAAAAATAATGTAATTTCTCTCCATTTAATAAGTTAGCAGTAAAATGCAGAGGGGGGAGTGCAGAGGGAGAGCAGGCTTAAATCTTATCTGATACCCGGGCCCCTAACTCAATCATATGGCTCTTAAGAACAGGACACAGGCAGCTGGGGCTCACTAATATGCATGCAATATGTGTGTAAAATGATACGCTTTAATTTTGAGCCCACTTTAAGAAGCAACAAAATCTGTTTATACGTGAGACATTTAAAAAGAGGGAGGAAAGAAATAAAGCTATTTAACTCCCTCGTTCCCGCCAAGCTGTGACATCTGTTTAGTCTTTTCTTCATCCCTCTGCTCCGAACGCTCAATCCCAGGAAGACAGAGTTTTTAAAAACCCACTTTTCCTGCCTGCTGTTTATGCTAAAACTCAGCGCTTTGAATCTGCGGAAACACAAGTTAAGAAAATGAGAATTGCACACGTTTATCTCTTTTCCTTATTAGATGAACTTTGCTGCTTTCGGATTTCAGTTTTCGCTCGCAGGCCATCACAAAGACTTCCTGTTGGTACTGTAATTGTGAATTAAGGCCCGTTCACACCAAGAGAATAGTGAGAGTATGAGAATAGTCCACACTATAATGCCAATGACACATTATTGTTGAAATCATTTTTTTTTATTCCAGCTGATGAATGCTAAAATCATTGACAGCCAATCAGAATCCACCCGATTTTAAAGAGCTCAAGCAAGTGGCAGATTACATATTTGCAGAGTGTGTTTATAATAAACAGAACATTATCGTTCATTGGTCTGGATGCTAATATACAGTAAGTATTGTTATAATTATCTTTATAGTTATCGTTCTTGGTGTCGAACACATGTTGTTTCCTAAACATGTGTTCGATATAATATTTTCATTCATATTTCAATCTGAACAATTTAACACGCTTCATTTTTAGCAAATAAACAGCCGTTTCCTGCCTTTATTTGAAGCGGCGCTGTCTTACGTATGCGAGTCAAGGGGCTGGTAATTGGTTGGATGAGGCTGTTGGTGTGTATGCGTGTATATATATGTGTCGCCACTGGGCTCTCCCAGAAAGCAGGAAGTGTGAGGGAGAAGAGGGGTCTTTCGGGGCAGGAATACGGGGAGGAGGAGAAGAGAGAGAGGAAGGGGGTTAAACTTCAAAAAGCCTCTGACACATGCTGCCGCTGGCCCTGACCACTCCACAGATGCTTTTGTTCATTGCCTCTCTCTCAGTTCCCCCTCAATCTCATTCATTCCCTGTGTCTTTGGTGATACGCGCCGAGTACAGATATCAAAGTCTGTTAAGACTTCAAACTGGGGGCCCCGTCCGTCAACCCCAATCACAACAATCAGACGTGAGGGGGTGGGTGGGGGGGTTGTTAGGACTCGGTCGTTTGGGAAGGGGGGTGAAAACGGCCCACTTCACTGCACTTCAGTCGCACTACAAAGAGTTGAGCCACGGACGCTAAAGGGATAAAGAGAGCTTTGCTCTTCAGGATCTCGCGCCGTTGCATTTTACCAGCATTTGACATCTGCTGTGACTGAGGTGATAGAGGACATTACTGTACAGAGACATTTACCGAGTTCTTTTTGTGGTTGTTGTGGTTTGCTTGTACTTTAAGAAGCCTGCAGCGCAGATTATTATGGCATCTGATGGCATTATCTTGGGCCTGTCCATCTGTCCATTCAGTTATGACTATTAATAACCCCAGACATGTGTCACATAGTATACTTAGTTCTTAAATCCCTTGTCTGTGAGATCAGACTTTATAATTACCTATCCCATTAGATTGGGAGACTCTGGACCCTGCATACTCACACTGACCTGCATAGGAACAGCTGGGGCGATGCGTTTAAAAAAAAAAAAAAAAAAAAGTTATATTTTTTGCAACTGTGAAGGCGCTTTCACAGCAAAAAAGTTATATTTTTTGTTGTTCCCAAACTGTAGGAGTGTCTTTATTCTGTGGAACACTAAAGAAGATATTTTAAGAATGTTTCAGCAGTTTTTTTCCAGATGGGGTTTAATACAACACTGGCCACTGACTTTCACTGTATGGACAAAGACCACTGAGACAGTCTTAAAAATATTTTCTTCAGAAGAAAGTAAGTTATACAGCAGACATCATTTTCATTTTTGGGTGAACTTTCTTTTTCCTGTTGAGTGCTTCATTGAAAGAAGCCCATTGTGTTTCCATGAGATAAACAATATAATTAATTAATTTAAAATGTGACTCATTTAATAACGGCAAAGAGAAACTTTAAATCTCGCAGATTATATGATGAAATCCTTCGGCATGTGCTGTGATCCTTACGAGCGATGCCAGTCTGTGATTGACTCTCTGTTCCTGCTTCCTGCACGTGCGGAGGGGTTCAGTTCCTGTCCTTCCGTGCAGCACGCCAGAGGGCAGAGAGAGTGTACTAGGAATCAGCCCATCCACACTAACTCTTTTTTCCATTCCTAATCACTCCATTTAAAGCCAGAGGTGAGAGACCCGTCTGACTCACACATACGCACCTGCTCTAATCAGCCCTATATCCCTTAAGAGTGCCTGTCTTTACCCACATGTGTTTGTGAGTGTGTGTTTTTAGACTGATGAGCCTGTTTGTGGAATGGCCACTTGCTATCAGTAATTGGTGTCGTTCCCTGTTGGTTTGATCATTCTCACACTCTCTATCTCAACACTGGCTTCACAATCTATGGATAAATATGTGAAAGCATGTGTCAATCTCTGTGTGTGGCACTTTCTATAAATATGGAGGTCTTTAGTGTCCCATGGAAAAAAAATAGAGATGCAAATTCCATTTTCTTTTGTCCTATGAGAACTATTAGACATGTTAGATAAACCATTAAACTTAAACTGATATATTGACTATTTTCCTAACCTAAAATGAAAAGTAAACTATTTAGCTTTAAAAACATCAAATGTCAGTTTTTGCCCAGTTTATGTTTGCCTTGGGAGGTTTCTCTACTTTATAAAATAATTAAAATCATAAAACTGACATTGTTAAAATGATATTTAAACTATTGTGGTAGAATAATTTTTTTTAAATTATTAAATAACTTTAATTACCAACTTTCCCTCATTATGTTTGGTTTTGTCCTCTTACCCAGGTCATTGTTAGAAAAAAAGATCAAAAGGATATTTTTCTTTGATTTATTGGCAGTTATAAGTTTTATCAATAACTGCAAACCTATATTTTGTCTCATAACCTTAGTTTTATTTTTAGTTAAATATTCAACTCTGTTAACTATGTTGTGTGATTTTGTTGTTGATTTACATTGTAATGTAATTTTATTTTATGTTTATTTAATATTTTTTGCTAGAAAACTGTAAACCACAAATCAGGAATTTAAATTTAATAGATTTAATTTTAATTTAGAAAATAGTTTCTTTCTTTCTTTCTTTCTTTCTAAATGTAAACCTCAAAATAAATAAATAAAAGCTAATATAAGACTTGGTTTGAGGCTTAGTCCTTACGCTTAACATTTTTCTAAAAAGGATTAACTTTTTTTTTTTCTAATCGTTACGCATCTACTTTAAATGCCCATTTATTGAATATAAAATATTGTACTGATTCTGTGTAAAGTGCTGATCTTTATCTATCTATCTATCTATCTATCTATCTATCTATCTTGTCTGTCTGTCTGTCTGTCTAATTTATTTAATTATTGCTTCCACAAAGCATTAAAAAGTAATGTCTTAACCAGTCAAACTTTTAACCCAGTCTAGCTAGAGGACAGAAGCATGATTCTACAGTATGTACAATCTGTGCTGAAAACACTCCCTGATGAGCATCTATTTATGTATTTCACTATACAGACTTTGATCATGCACACCGGACACCTAATTAACAGAGGGATGCATCACAGAAGGGGAGAGAGAGAGAGATGGACAGATATAAGAGAGAATGAGAGGAAACATGTGCAGGTCATATCATGGGCTTTTCTTTCAGCCTCTTACTTTTGGCCTGCAATAGTATAGAGTGCAAAAAAGAAAAGAAGCAGGACCAGTTATCTTCCGATTTCTCCCCAAGCCCTGTGACGCGGCTAAGTGAGCCTCAACTGACCAGAAATGATTTGCCTCTGTCTGTTAAACACGTAATGGAGTCATTTAACTAGTCAAATTAGAAGCTGCAGAGATGCCGCATGCTTCATTACTGGGTTCCAATGGGCACCATTTTACATTTACGTCAGGAATGATTTCAGGGCAAATTAATGTTTTTATTGTCTTACACAAATACACCCCCCAAGTCATAAAAGAGCAGCTCCCCCTACAGGTCACTCAATATAACTGACTGAAACTAAAGTGAGGGATGTGCAGAGGACAGTGTGGACAACAAGATAAACTCTCGGATACATGTGATATTGTTTTAATTAGTTGTTTTATCCTAATATTTCACATAGATGTACTGTACGTTTTATCACTTTAAAAATGATATACACCCGACAGCATTAATTGATCACCACAGAGAGTAACGTAATGGAAACCCAGTGTGCAGAGACGTAGTTTGATGTGGGGGACAGAGCTCTGGACCTTGTTAGAGGATTTGGACATTTGTGATTACAGACGAGACCCAGGCCTACTCTGCCCTGCCCCACAGTGTTGTTTGATGCGTGTGGAGTCCTGTTCAATATTTGTCTTCCTGTGTATGGAGTCAGGGTGGTGGGTGTTACCACAGAGTCATTTGTCCAGTACTGACACACTGTTTAAAATGGCTTTTACAAGATTTTTTTCCCCCCTCTTGATTATTTTTGACGTGTTATTTTGGTATGGTTTTGCTATGGACTTTATAGAACGAATACAAACATACCCAGACTGTTTATCTTCATCAAGAACAAAGCAGTTTTGTATATCAGAACTAGTTTCATTTTTCATAGCGTGTGCAGGTTGAGTAATAGTTTTCCTTCATCCATGTCGCAATGCTGAAAGAGCCGTAATGGAATTGCAATAAAACGGCTCCTTTTCTTC